GATTTATATGTTGTATTTCAAAAAGGTAACACCTTGCTACTTAAAATGTTAATTGTAGGAATCGAAAATAATTCGTGTGCTAATGTAATTAAAGGTATAACAGTCTCATTATTCAACATTCGTAACGAAACGTTTATGTTTATATTTGCCAAAACACTGCTACGAAGAAAGTTAATCATTTTATTGCGTGCAGTGTCGATTATTAAAAACCAAACAATGCAAATTCAGCACCGTTTAAAAGGGCCCATTTATGTTTGAGCGCTTACATACTACGAAATAAGCAGCTTACAATTAGGTATAAAAACATCTTTATGTCAATCCTCCTAAAGCATCTACCTATATACTGTTCCTACATATATATTAACGTAGGTAACTTAAGTATTTGTCCTTTACCCGTTGTCCCCAACCTAAGGACCACGGACCGTTAACGGCCCGCGAGTGGTTAATCTGGAAGGGAGCAATTGCGAGTGGTAGTACCGTTGTAGGGTTGGAGAAGAAAAGCTGTGCACCGCTTCTATCTATTCATCGGTACATTCTCATGCTTAGCAGTGCTTTTTGTAAATATATATTGGGGTTTGTTCTTGCCCGCTTTTCGTCAATATTGCAAAGATTTCTTTCGGAACAGAAGTTATCGCTGGCAGCACATTTCATTTACAAGTTATGGATCGTAAAACTGGTTTACTTGGGTGACATATATAGCCTGCTCAATGACTCGATTCACTCATTCAGGGGAAATTGGCAAGCTTTTGTTGGTAGACAAAGTAGCTGCATTTAATATCAAACTAGCGTTGTGGCGACGGCGCGTGAACAGAGATATTTTTGGCATGTTTCAAACAATAGCAGGGATTTTGGGCCAGAATGACCCTGAGCATTCATTCAACCACTTGGTGCACGATCACCTCACTTTGCCTTTACAAGAGTTCCAGCGGTATGGCGCCAAAACAAAATACTAATGAAAAGGTAAAAAAAGATCTGCGATCCCTTTTTCAACAAACGAAGTGCATCTAGATGGTATCTGTAAGAGGGACATCAACTGCTGGATATTGAAAATGACGGCAGCCTTAAAACTGCTTTCAAAACAGCAACTCTGTCAATGTTCTGGATTGAGATCATGGCGGATAACAAACGACCACAGCACTTAAATACATAAGGCTGTTTCCGACATGCTATCTGGGTGAAACGCTTCCTACTGCAGTGACAGCAAGCAGCACAAAACAACGGAATAAACTGGATATAATCAAAAGACTTCGGGTGCCCTTGTCTGCCATTACCCTCAGAAAGAAGTATCTCATTACAAAGATACAACCTCAGAGTGCTGATCGATTTAGCGTTCTAGTGCGTTAACAGGCTAAATCACCTTGGTTTTATTTTTTGGTGTAACTTAACTTCAGTTTAAAACATTTTTAAACCTAATTACAATGAAATCATTAAAGCAAAACAAGCTAAAACAGGTACAATCGATGCCCATTTCAGCGGACCGCGCTAAAATTAGCAAAAATTTACCTGTAAGCGGCAAAAATCTGAGGACCACTGTCATATATCACATATTCGGCTTTGGTTGAGGCAGACTGTTTAACGTTGTGATATTGTAGCGTCCCTTAAAAATGTGTCTAAACCCCAATGCTCATTTTCATGTTGCATCCACTGGAATTCTGATGGCAACAGAGGACAGTATTTAACTTACTTTTTACATTTTAAGGCATGCAAAACGAATACTACAGTGAGTGCTACATGTCTGTGATTATTGTAACATGAATCTACAGTTTAAATTACTAAAGGAGATAGAAGTGAATTTTTAACATCAGTTCTCTAAATCTTTCGCAAGATCATTCGATGACTAAACACTGGACAAGATTACATTCATTTACTGTTAAACCCGATATCGGAAGATACCTTAAATCCTAAGAAGTTGAACGGCAGAAGCAAAGGCGTATGCAACCTTGTATACTTGCATCTGCAAAAGTGATCCACTGTTGATAGTGCTTCAACATTAAGGCATTTAATCAGACAATGGAACGTTATCAAAATATTTAATTGATAAATTGTTGATATTGAAAGAATGCAACTTCCGTTCTCAAGAGGAGGAGCAGCTTTACAGTTACCAGTTGACACCAATGTCAAATATTTCTAAGTTAATTGCGCTGCCTCTAATGCAAAGTAAATCACCAATAATAGTATTTTGTTGAAGCACAGCGATTGATGTATGCATCCTCTATAAAATGCATGATCTTCCTATTGGACATATATAATTAACTACATTTTTGAACTAAGACGTCCTAAGTTGAAGAAATGCGTTAGTTTATAAGGTCAGTGATATTGCACTCACGACGACGGTTACTTCTAGTGCAAAACTCAGCATTATACCTCATACAACATATGTGCTCTATTATCCAGAAATGTATTTATCGGGTCCACTTGATGAAGATGTCTGCGAAAAGGTATGTTTTGTTATACATATGCTTTTCGGTATTTATGGATAGTACCAGTGGCTCGGTGTGTAGATAAAAATATGTCGCAGTTCCCTAAGCTGCCCGATTCCGCGTTAAAATTTCGTTACGAAGCTAGGCACGGTTATGTGCGCAAATCCCCCATGCTAAAGAAAGCAAACAGCACTGTCATGTCATATTTCCAGTCAACGTTAGCCACAAGTAGGCTTGTCATTCTAAATTGCTCTAGGTTTATATGTGTCCTCAAATAAGTTAAAATATTGAGATGATAAATTAGCCCATTAGCATTCACCATGGAAACACGCATTTGTCATACGCTAAGGTAATCTTGTTATGATATGCTAATGAGGCATGGGAAAAGACAATTCATCGGGCTCCTTGGAAGATGGGTCCGCTCACAAACATTAAAAGCTATCATCCCCTAGTCCAAAAATACAGGTGCATAAGAGGACAGTTTAAACTAACACAATCATGTAGATGTAGGTTGCGACTAAGGAAAGCATGTTTAAATGAAAGAAAATATTTAAACCTAGTATGCTTTTATCGACTACAGATAAACCATCCCAACCATTTAGTGTACGTACAAAATAGCAAAACGCAGTTGTGACAATTAAAGTATTTGTAAGTTACGGAAGCAATGAAAATGAAAATGATAAAATTATGCGACGATCACAAGAACTGTTAGTGCAAGAAAATGCAATAGGTGAAATTTTAAAGACTGGTATCCGTGCCGGAACGCAGATAATAGAAAGTTTCATCATTAAGCTGTTTACGGAGCAATCCGGACCAAATCAATATATGGTTAGTTAAATTGGGGATTGAAACTAATTGCTTGGAAAACACAATACTTGCACGGGAAAAGAATAGCCAATGCTGAAGCCTAAACAGAAATAAGACAAAGCCAATAGTATTTAAAAATTACTACCCTAGTACCTGACGTATATGGAGATACCTAGCTAGAATACATAAGGTTAACAGCGGAAGCACAAAAATAGGCAAACCTGAGCACACTAGTTAATATTAAAAAGGGAACCTACAATAACCTAGATGGTTAGTTTTCTATATATCGAATATCACTATTCCGCAAGGTAACTTATAATAAGCCGTATTTGCGTCAGAACACTGGCCACAGGGATAATGCAAGTAACTTTACTCTAAGCGCTTTTAAGTAAATAGCCATGCGACGCAAGGGATCTCAAAAAATTTGTGATTAACTCATCAAATGTAAGCGTTATATAAGATAAAATATGAAACACATTTCTAAATATTAGGTAGCAGGACACTTTTTCATTTGTTGAGAGGTTGGTCTATGTACTCACACAAATATACCGTATTAACTCTTGCCTGTAATTGTAGGGCAAGTTGTATTTGAGTAATTAAAATATAATAACAGAACCGCAAATACATGAGAACTGAAGGGCAGAAGAAAATAACCTACCCGTATATGTTTTAACCGGGTAGCACGTCAATAATTTTTGATAAATTGAGCTTTTCCGCTATTTTGTTACCCACGCTTTCAACACGGAGCTTACGATTTACAGAAATAGCGAGCTTTATCTGCATCTAAGCTGCAATAACGCTTTGAGAATAGATGAGGTAATCACAGCAAAAACATATTGCTGATACAGGTCGACAGACAGAAATATGCAGGGGGTAGTATTAATGATCAATGTACCTCGTATTATCATTGCTTGCAACAATCCATACACACAGCAAATACACCACAGCAAAAACTAGACCGATTTTTATCCTGCTAGATCCAGCTTAAATTCAGAAGCACAACTGCCAACAAGGTAGAGCATTGTTTTCAATGCTCTTTCTAACCTAGTGTATAACTTTGTTGCATACTTTACACACAGACGAAGTACTTAAATACAAAGTATCCAACTAGAAATGCAAAGCTTTGTGGTGCCTTGCGGAATACCAAAATTATACTTTAAATGTAATGCTTAGCAAACTGTTTACTGGTAAACTGTTACGTATGTAGCCTTGCTTTATATACAGTCCAATCCGCTATGGTGTCCACCAGTCTTTGGCGATTGCCTGTATACGGCGACAAGCCAAAATCATCCACAACATTTTCTCTCATCAGTAATATCCAAATGCATGAACCCATCCATAACGACCACATGTCCAAGGCGAACACATTTTGTCGGTGCCATGCAGTGTCGCATTAGACAGCTTTGACTCTACTTGCTTATATGCACTGTGTGAGATTGCACAACAACCTTGCTCTGTTTACTCATCAATTATAAACCAAAGATTAGATATTAGCCTAAGTTCTTTCAGGTTAGTGTACGCTTATTAGCATGAGTTGTTTTGCTGACACAGATTTAAACGTTGCATTCAAAGGAACTACAATATATATCATTATTATAAGCAAGCAAGTGTATTTTACATGAGTGCATTTACTTCATTTTACGATTGCACGTCAGTGGAAATTGAAATCAATATCTGTACATGGTAAACCTAACAAATACAATTTTGACTGATTTCCAACCTTTTAAAATTTAAGGATTACGCATTAATTTATTCTTATTTTATTTACCACAGATACGGGAATATTACAAGGCTGATTACACAGAAATGTTTTCCACATGTGACCGAGAAGCTTACATTAATTCGCCACAAGTTTCAGGCAATTACTCTTTGCACGTATTAAAATCGACCAAACCGGTTTATTTGATTGATTATCCAAATTATGTTGACTCACATCGTAGAATGATATATGCGTTAAACGAAAAAGGATGCAAATATAATGGCTTTGTAGCAAGTCTCCATGGTAAGTTTCTTTGTGTTTAATGCTACAGCATATTCTGCGCAAGTATTTCTTGTTGCCCACAATGTAGTTCTCATAAACATGTAACTAACTGCTCATAAATTACTGCTACGAGTAAGAAGTAAAAACAATGTGGTTCTTATCCTTACAAATGTAGATTTTTAAACCCTAATAAATTGCAGACTGAAAGGGGATTCTTAACGTTGATAACTGATTATACTTAACACTGCTCTACGCAATTTATTCCATAGAGGAACCGGAACATAAAAGTTTTTCTAGTTACGAATTGTTTTAAACCGCACCATGTTTATTACGAACATGTAAACCAATTAACTAAAAACTAAGAATATTATGGTTTATCCAACTAAGTGCGGCGTTTTTTCCACCCAATCTGCCTATCACTTAAATAAAGGGTGTAGGGCAAGAATTACAGAATGTTGATCCTTCAAATGTCGCATTAATTACTATTGTTTTCAGAAAAACCGGATGGATCCTAATTAGGTGTTGTAGTAGGCGTAAGGACCGACCAATTTAACTGCCTAAGTAAAACGTAATAATTGAGCGTGCATATTGTTGCTTTGTCATGAGATATTTCGGAATGTCTGCAGCAGTGAGTACAAAACCGTGCAGCTGATTGGTTAACGCTTAGATTTAAATGGTGTAGGATACTTAACCTAAGTTTGATAATATTTGGACATAAGAATTAATTAAGTGTTTTAGATTCTGCAAATTTAAACAAAATTATTTACAGGATAGTGCACTGGTTTGGCAGCGCGAGTACTTGCTACAAGTTTTAATGTCCAGTAGACGTTGAAAGCTAAATAGGAAAGTCTAATATCTCAATTTCGACGGATTCTTCTTAAATTCCCTGTGGTGCAAAGCTGAATTGGTAGCAAATACCTGGTTAGTAGGTCATATGACTAATTGAAATCAGCAGCTGTCAAGTTAGCAAAATCAGTTTAACGGTCCAACTTGAAGTTGGTTTTTGCCAAACCTAACTGTCAGCATTGTAATACCTTAAATTTCCAAAATCGCCAGACCATAAAGGATTAACCTACATGTCTTGATAAGTGCAATTAATTCTTGGCATAATTATGCCAGAAATAGCGAGCAATGTTTGTATTTTCCTTGTCGTAAAATTACTTGCCATTTAAATTCGTTTCATGTTTAAAAGTGTGGAAGGTAATAAAATACTCCTATTTTCTTCACAGAATAACGGAATTTCTTGGTAAACATGGAAGTATACTAGCAGCAGAAAATGATTTTTGGTCTTTGTAACAAACCGCCTGTACCCTTTTCCAATTTATCTGTCTTTCGTGAAATGACTAATTCATTATTTGCCACTTGCTTCACACTTCTAAAGAAAGAGTACGGGATTAATATGGTTAACATTGCGGTGACCTGCTATGCAGTTACCTTTAGTTGGATAAAAGTAAATGCACTTGTTTATTCGATCTTAAAAATGCCTAGCTCAAACACGACATGAAACATGAGAAATAAGATATTGCAGTTCCGAAAAATCCGCTATGAATGTCAGTTGATACAGATGGATGGCACAAAATTATTTGTTGAAGACAGTATTTAAAATTCGGCTATGAGCGACAGGTGTACTTGCTAGCACGACAGCCGGAAAAGTACGCAATAGGGCCAAATAGTGCTCGAAATTGGTTCCATTAACACAAATTGCGAGCAACGGGAATAAATTCTTCAGCACACCGCCATTTTATGCCCTCTAACCTAATTTTCTCCTCATAATCCACCGCTATCTATTATTGCTTGCTAAATCTTTCGCCCGTTGCCCAAATAATATTCCACACATTAAGCATTAGTTAAATATTTATTGATAGCATTTCTCGTTTAACTGACCCCGAGGCCATGGGTCTTTGATACGCTCTGTCCAAAGTCGAATTTTTTGATGATTGCACTTTCAATACATCTAGCGAAAGTTTTATGCTTCAATGCTTCCGCGACGGATGTGCTTTTGTGCAATTGCAGGGTAAATGATAATATTAATGTGTTGAAATATGACAATAAATAGAAAAACAACCTTAACCTCAGTGATTTACTTAAAAATTCGTCACATTTATTAAAATGGCACTTATAGAAGCGAGTGATTGTTAAGCTGCCGCACTGTGACCGTATTTTGAGCCTACGACAGTCTCAAATGAACGCATTTGGAACGATATTGGGTCACCCGAAATATGTTGGTTAGACAAATACGTATTCCGCACTGCCTCATTGCGAATAGGAATGCGATTCCCGCTGCGTATGGGCAGAAATTGCGACCAGAAAAGTGACTTCCTTTCACACATGCAAAAGCCTTTTATGATTGACCGATTTTCGTATAAAATGTGTCGCAGTTGGTCGGCCGAGGACACAACTGACAGTAAAGCAGGGCAATTTAGCGGTCAGTCTGCAGAAAACGTCTGTCGTTTGAACGCCGCGGATATATATTCTTGGCAATACCTTTGAGTGGTGAGCTATTATATGACCAGAAACATTTCTCATGTCGAGGTAAATGGATAATTTAAAATAAAACAACTTCTGAGATGCAGCAAACTTGTAAACGCCATAGCTATCCAAAGGTTTCAAAGAACATTCAGGCCTTTTAATAGTGCAGTCAATCCTAAGAGGATGGTTGGAGCATCTAGTATTTTAACAAGACAAAAGTAATCATGCAGGTTGCCGTCAACTATTGTATGGGCCACATATACTAACGAAACCTCAGTATGTATTCCTGGTAAGTAACTAATTGGGATTATAGACATTTAACAATAACTGAAAATATTACAGATTTTCACGCCTAAGCAAAGTGTTCTATTGTTGCAACTTACAATTTTCAGCCCCACAGCATTCTGTGTTTTCAGCATGTTCCTGAAATGCATGCGGAAGGTTGGATTGCATCCGGTATTGTATTCAGTAGCAATGAAAAGGAAAAGTAGAACATATGAGTCCTGCTGAAAAAACCACATTTTTACATGCTACAAGGAATAGGAATTGAATTATCATGGGCACGGAACGGTGAAGCACAGACCTACAATAGCAATTCGTCAGCACGCATACTCATTCAGTAAAACAAATAGATGTTGTGGAAGCCAAAATGAATTCAATAATAAAATTAAGTATCCTTTCTTTATTGAAATCTAATGTTACTAAAATGGAAAAGTATGTTTTCGGTTGCAATAAAAGAGCATTCCTCTAGAACGCTGATATTTGGAAGGCGTTGATACAGCAGTCAGATTAAATAAAAGTACATACACAACGGTACATTTCTAGGCTGTGGCTGCATGCTGTGCTTGCTAGGGATCCAGTCCTTAGGTACACAATCCCCCTGCCGTTAGATGAATAGTAACAACAATAAACGTAAATGCTGCTTGTTAGCACGTACCGTTACATACAGAGAAGTAATGATTTGCAAAATGATTTTCGCAGCACTTGACAGTCTTATAACACATTACGTTCATTTCGTCGTAGCGCATGCACAAGCTTCTTCACGTGTACGTGAATTTCATCTGGCTTCTTCAGGCAATCTTTGTGTACTGAGGTGACGGGCAAAGCCGCCATTATGCCTCTTTTTATAACGAAGCATGGTTCATCTTTCGACTAATTTCACTCCAAGCCATTAAGGCCGTTTTAACGCATTCCGTTTTCCATTTATTGGTGGGCACATGGAGGGAAATAGAAACGGCGGCCTTGAAAGAAACAATAAAAACGCTAAACATAGTTTCTTGTAAAAGCTATCAGGACGTAAACATGTTACAATAATAATTGGCTATTGGGTCGGACGGTTCTAGCTTATACTGTGATCAAGTGTACAGCGATGAAGACGGAGCAGGGCGAGTAGGCAAAAAACAGGAGTTTATTCTGAGAAAAGGATGTGAACAAAACACGGGTGAAGAATCCACACAGTGCAGCCTGCACTAGCCGAATACGCTTTCGATCATGATACTGAAATTAAACCAACACTGGTCTGTATATCGATATGTTTATCCATGCGTTAGGCATTAGCTTGATTTTCCTTGTGCTCCTTCGTTCTGATTTCTTCTGCAGCTGGCTGAGTGATCGCGGTAAAAGTGCTCCGCTGGTTTGCACTTGAGAAACCGTGCCCCCTTAGCAGCGACATATTAAAGATTCTTATCTAACTATGAAAAATAAACTTAACCTAAAATTTGACTAAAACATTCTGAACAAAACTTGACCTTGTGCCAAAACTCAAAAATGAGCAAATATCCGGATAAAAGGGAAAACCTATTTTAGAGCAAGAATATGTCTGAAAGTAAAACAATGGTGGGCTATTCAGTACCGGATTTTATCGCGGATTACAATAAGAGTAACATCTATGTACTAGGGCAGAGCAATAAATTAGCAGATATGGAATACACAGATTAGTATCAAATGCCCTGGCATAAACGGTGAACTGCAATCCATTGTGAATTTGCACATTGATTTCAACTCCCGGAACCTTAGTTACTCAGCTTAGCACAGCTCACAGTTCATAAGGTTCACAGTACTTTAGGTATGAAACCCATTTGGGGTCGCTAGAGGGCGATGAAGGCTCAAAGTAATACCAGGGTTTTGAGCGATAGTGCTGGGATTGGTGATGAGGTGTCTTCAAGAACCAAGGTGTTTATGTGGTTTCCGGAATTCAACCGTGGCAGTTGGTACCTGAATGCTGACGCACGGTGTGTTCGACCTGTGGAGGCCACCATCGCGTACAACATTGCTTCCGTGCAAACGATGCTGGAGATAAACGCGCGGGTGACATTAGTACAGCTGGGGGAATTTATTGCAATCTGGTCGGTTCCAAACTGCGGAATCTTACATGAGAACCACGGCCACCGGTAAGTTTGTTCGCACTGGATGTCCTATCAGCTCAGTGAGGATCAAGAAGCATCTTGGGTGGATTGGTGACGCACCATGCTTGCCACGTTTGATGGTGGCCGTGCCAATGCTGTTCGGTTGAACCTCAGTAGTTTTGGGATCAGGGTGCACACTTTCGATCTAGAGACCAAGCAACAATCGGCTCAGTGGACTGCGGTGTTTTGGCTGCCGCCTCAGATATTACGTCAGACGCACAGTGTAGTCAAGCTGATGGTGGTTTTGTTCGTGATCGTGACCGCTTACGTGGCTACTCTGTCAACCGTGCAGTAAAGCACAGTCACCGGATGTAGGTATACCACCCACTGTCTATCACAGGTGCTGGTAACAGTAGCCAGACCACGTCCAAAGACTGGAGTACTAGTGAACTTGCTGCATCATGACAAAGCACCTGCAAACAGGTCCCGTATCCTCAAAGCTTTTGTGGCTGCAGAACGCATGTGTTAGTCTGGTATACTAACCTATTTTTCAGACCTGGTTCTGTGTGACCGTTTAGTGTTCCCAAATGTCAAGCGCATAATGCGTAGAATCCGTTAGGTGTTCCTAGATTCTGCAGTAGGAGAAATTTATTCAGACGCTTGATGGGTTATCTGCTTGATCATAATCTAGCTGCTGCTCCTAATGGTTTGATGCATAGACCACTGCATCAGCGCTGGTGGATAGTCCTTGGATAAAATGTAATGCTTATTTTGTTGTCAAAAATAAACATCTCGTGCGTCTGGAAACATATTGCTTAACCTTCGTAATACGTGCAATAGTTTGCGAGATTTTTGTGGTTGAATGGCCATCTACAAACAAAGTCATTATTTCTATTTCGCTGAAAATTGCATTATGATTTGCAAACAGATGCATAAAACAGAACAGAAGAAATAAATTGGTAAAGCGCATTAATTTCTAAATAGGGATACTTATCTTGAAATAAAAAAATGGACCAACTTTGCCGCAGTTACTAGATTTGACGTATTAGGCGAAAAGTCAATTTTCCTAGCATCCATACTGAAAGCTAAGCGAATTTGCGATAAATATACGATCAAATTCTAGGATATCACTGAGAAATATAAACTATGCACAAATTATCAGGATACCCTGTAATTGGCCCACCAACAGAAGACATCGATTTAACATTTTCAGAGAACGGTGGATTACCTAAACTACTATGCATGTAGAGTTTCCAAAATTTTAAAATTTTATCTGGTCGGGAATATTGTCCCGTGAGCCAGGTATATATGGATATAAGTCGTTAAAACCCATATAGTTCTATATAAAATAGGCTAAACTTTATTAATTCTTGCCAATTTCTATATCCATAAGGATATATTAACACTAACAAATCGCTAC